GACAGACCCCCAGAATCTTTTGCAGCGACGTCGCCGCTTGCTGACGGAATAGGTGACTCAGCTTGGCAGTCGATAACATACGAGCGACATTGACCTCACCTCCAAATCCTTTCGCCACCACGAATAGCGGATCGTGATTAAATCCTGTCATGGCCTCGTCAACCTGGCGTTCGCCCGCAACCTATGATACGCTAAGTATGCGAGAAACTGGATCCCTTTGCCTTTCAGGTCCAGGAGAAAGAACGCGTCGTCAATTGACTTACCCTCCCATAAATCAGCCAGGTCCGTATTCATTGACGTATGCTGTGGCGGCAGCAGTTTCCTCCAAGAGCGCCTAAAGTTGAGCTTGTTAGATGAACTCGTTCCTTGCCTTTCACTTCTCCTCGACGTTCTTCAATTTGAGACATTTCTCTAGTCTCAGACATGTTACACTGTCCTCCTTTATGGTCTTCATCGTCCAGCTCTTGAACATATTTGCATCCTTTGTCGTAGCATGTCGATGGACATCTCGGCAATCGACTGGCCAGCGCCCTCGTTGATCAAGGGGACAACCGGTTGCTTCAGAAACCGACAAATAGTATCGAAGATTTGCATTTCCTTCAATGTCGACTTCTGCGTTCTCGGCACGGCCCTGATCATAGCTGTCAAAGGGACGGATGACCTGTCTTCTTCATTATTGGTCTCGGAAGCCCCTGCAGACGATTGCAGGTACGGTGTTGTCAATATCGGCGTCGGAATCAATTCGAGGCAAGCGGCTGATGTCCGATATCTCAGAGCTGGCGACGCATGCAGCGAGCGCAGCAGAAATAAGGAGAAGGGAAGACGAGAGGCGTATCTCGATGTGAAGTCGTACTAGTCTTTGGGGCGTGTGGTAAAATAATAATTGATCGAGTCACAGAATCATTTAGACTTGTGAAATGGAAGGGAGAAGAAGCGAGAGCCTGTCAATGCTGAAGTATAATGCAGCAATACAGACACTAGCTACTAACACGCTGCGTGCAAGGGTTGTGATCGAAATAAAAGGACGTGTGCGGAAAGGCCCCATTACTGCTAAGCCGCCTGCGTACGGTGGCGTTAATATTGAGTCCCATCGAACATTGGTATTGTCGACAGTGAATATTCGAGACTCGCACACTTCGCCAGGCAAAAAAACGATCCCAAACGAAGCACATGCGGTTGTTGCCGCTACGAGGTCAGAGAAAAGGTCTTGAGGTCGGCACAACAAGAGCGGGCGCGTCTAGCCGGAATGGGGAAGACCAGTCTACGAAAAAATATCGATCTCATACAGACCATAAGACGAGATCGCTGGCACCATGTGATGTGCTGAAAACGATGCCACAGCTGTGACGCTCTTTCAAAAGGGCAGCAAATGAGCCCGTCAGCACAAGGATCGTACGAGAAGCTGGGGCCGTCAACAGAGGATAATAAATCTCCCGCAACTCGGCTTTGACAGAGCTGTATAAGCTGTAACAATTATAAAAAAGTTAATGTTTTCAGCAAAAATTGATATAACTCTACCATCTCCATGAGTTGCAATAAAATGGAGTATTTCTCGTATCCCTCAGCTAATCAGATTAAAGTGCAAGCTTTACTTTGTAAGCTTTTATTTCTTACAAAGCTTTTTTTGTGCGCATTTGACCTATATTTTTACGATGCCGCGTCACAATTTTTAATATCCGTTCATGATAAATGTCCTCAAGCTACACGTGATGAATGCGTGCTGCTTACAACAAGACCCGTTTATTGGGCCACACGTCGAGTCAGTTTCCGCACATCTCGCTGATTGCAGCCATCATGACCTAAGCTCTTTACTGTAGTTAAATGACCCACAAGGCTTAGGTCCGCGTTGTTTCCGCTGTCAAAATGCAGCAACACCTGTCAAAACGACCACGTCAAAATAGTGCACACAACAGTCAAGATCGATAACGCTGTCACTGTAAGAAGAAGGCCACAATTCGAGCATGTACTCACAAAGTCAGTCGAAGCAACGCAGTTAGACCCGCGCCTCCGACTGGCTAACATGTGTGCGACGTGCAACAGTATTGCGCATTTGGCTTTTAATTGTCCACTACTCGAACATAATCTCTTGTGGCTTGGCCTTGACCCTACTTCAACGATTCTTCTTGAGATGATAGAAAATGCGTCGACTCGATCGGTCGACGGTATGAGTCACGGAAAGCTGCAAAAGACGTTGATTTTACATAGCCTTCGCGGAGCCTACAACAAGTCATAGATTGATTTGTCTGTGCGCAAATATTGCAGCCAAAAATATGTAGATACATTCTTTCTACTGGATGGGTAAAACAGTTTTTGTGGCTGATTGGCTGAGGTCTGAACACAGTATACACATGGTGGAAATAGTTATTACACGGTGCAGAGTACTACATGATCTGGAACGACGTGTATATGACTTGCCCATCGAGTCTTGTCGCGGAACGGCACTTTATGATCAGTGCATAGTACGCTGGTCGTTTGTAGAAGTAGGTTTTATGTTGTGCCGTGAACTCATGCGTAATACGTGCAGGGAACCAAAGACCGCCGACGAATAAGCATGCCTGAATAGGGTTGTGCGCAGTCTTCGAATATCGTGCTTTACACGACCCTAAGGGCAAACACGATGCTCGTGATCACCGCCCTTCCAAAACAAATGTATACAAGATTTGGGAGCTTTAAGCGAACAACCTCGACCGGATGGACATTCGATCAACTATACTATGTTGTTGTCGTTCGTGGTGCATCGTCACTCATCTCATATCGCAAGTAGCTCACTGAGTCAGTCAATACTTGTGTCTTGTCAGCTGTTACTAAAGCTTGCACTTTTATACTTCTTGACCAGTTAAATGGTCGCCACCGCCATGATCCGCGTCGAAATAGTGATAGACCGGTCTACAACGTAGTACGAACCGAAACACTTACGTCGACGAAGCTACTGAAACTCTTTTTACATCGTTAAGTTGTGCGGTGCGTCACAATATATGAGTCACCTGTAACGTGTAGCTATGGAGGACACATAAGCGTCATCAGATATCACGATAAGACCCACGAAGAATAGAAAACAGCCTTTGTAAAAGTATGGAATAAACTTACGACGTGAGGCTCACATAGACTTAGGCCCGGGCCGGGGGCCCACTCACGACACTACCATACCGTTAACGATACAAATGCGACTTGCACATCAGATCTGTCATATTTACAAACTACGCTTTGAGGCTGTTGCAAGAGAAACAACGACATTCTGTGTGAATAGCGTCGCTTTCGGTAGAGGGATAGCTGAAGAAGACGATAATGCCGACCATGCCAATGCACAAGGAGGATAGCAAATTGCTGGGTGTTGTTGTTTACCTCCGTCGAAGGTCATAAACGGGATTCACGTGGAGTCCATAACTGATGTCGTCGACTGCAATGGAGCGAAAGGGAATACGTCGCGACCAAAGCGCACGTTTTGTCGTAAGCAATGGACGGTCCAAGGTTCCACACAGATAACAACCCGGCACTGCTTCCATGAGCAAAACCGTTTAGATAATAGGATTTTTTCAAGCAATCCGTAAAACCCTGCCTTAGAGAGCCGAGCACAGTAGCGACTACTACCTCCTCTACATCTGTGTCACCCCTCGCGACTCGGTACCGGCTGTTTCAGGTCCACTGTTGTTCCTCATGCGCCAGAGTAGACGCTATAAAACGGTACATGAGCAAAACCACACATGAACGAGGATATTGCTGATACCAACATTTCACGATTGCTCTTTAACTTTAAATGCGTTACCACCTTCTTACTTTTTCTTGATGAGATCGGATCCTTGTGAATCCTCGTAACAACACTCGTCTGTCTTAGCGTAGATCAAACAATATGCTTGTCCGGTGAACAATCGTACTAGCGCACTTGCTGAAGCTGTACCTTATATATCGGAGCACGATCTGCTTGACGCTAAGGAGGACGTGCTGCTCGAAGGTATGAATAATCGATCCCTCGCGCAATCCACGACTTTCACATAGCATGTGTAGCAGTCATGAAGGATAGCACGAAGTGCCGGAGGACCAAACCTGAAAGCAATGGAAAAGTTCTACACTCGTCACTAAATCCAATGCTGACACATTGTTGTACAAGCCTATCTGCACCGAATCTGACAATCAGTCACGCCTGTGAAACATGTTTTAGAGCGACTATAGTAACAACTACAAGAGCACACACTGAAGCCACCGGATCGGCCTCCTACCGGGCGTTTCCATCCTACAGTCTAATGTTTCACAAGAGCTTTGCTTATGGTAAAAAAACATGATTTTATACAACCGAAATTGTCGCATTTTAGGTCGTTCGCAAGCCCATAGTCATCTGAGTCCGCCTGCCAGTTCGCGATGGAGCGATCCATGGCCTCCTTCCCGCAACAAGCAGCACAGTCTCCTGACTCCTCCGTGTCAACTGCGGCTATCTTGCAACCGCCTACAGTGTCTGCACGGCCCGTGGTGTCTGGTGCCCAGAGCGCTCGCGACGACGGCGGTCCAAAAGCACTTTTCGTCTGAGTCGAACCGACTCAGAATCAGAAGCAGGCTGGGGGCGCGCCGACCGCGACGGCCGTGTGTACGACCACTTAATTGCAAGGGGAAGGGTTTTGTTGCAGGCGTATCAGAGTCAAACGAGTGGGCGACGGGTGCAAAAAACGGCCGCGTGCTGCTCAACAGTGGGACCGCAAGATGGCTACATGACGAGCCCACCGGTCGATGCTGTGCAGTCTGTGGTCGGCTCGAAATCAAACACTCGTGAATTAAAGTGCGCCTCGCTGCCAAAAAAGCACATTGTTGAGGCTCGTTTGATGCAGCAGACCAACGGAGACACTGACAAGAAGGATGTGGTCCTCCCGTTGCTCACGAACTCGCCACCACCTCGTCGAACAACGATTGGACCTATTGGTGAGTTGCATACGAAACCTCTGCCGGCTTTCAAGTCGGTAGGGAACCAGCTGCCACTTTCAAGGAACAAGAACGAGAAGAGCTGGACCGAGTTCATGCAGCTGCTTGCAACGAACGGGCAGATGATGGACCTTGTGGACGACCAATTGGCTGAGATCTGGACCGCGTTGATAGCAGCAGAGGACGAAGCGTCCGGAACGCAACCTTTGGTGAGCAAGTGGAGTCAACCGGTGATGCAGTTGTTGCGGCAGAAGCGAGAGGCTGAAAAAGCGCTTGTGAAGCTGGTCGAGGTGCTGGGATCACGGGCGTTTTTGGCAGGGAAGCTGACAGACGACGCAGTGCAATTTGTGAGCAATCAGCTGAGGCTCGAATTGAAGGCATCGCGTGTACTCGCAGAAAAAGTAAAGCAAGAGAGATCGGCTTGCAAGACGAGGGACTTGGATGCAAGCAAAAGTGAACAAGCTGTTGAAACGGAGCAGTTGCTGCGACAAAAATTGCACGATAGGGAACAGGAGCTGCAAGCCAGTCACGCTGCTGTTGTCGAATTGACGGACCAACTAGCGCAGCAAGAGATACGAGCTGCCGACGAGAAACAACAGTTGCAACGGGCGCTAGAGGTCAAGCTGCACGAAGTCAATGCTCTCTGCAGTGATGTCGACCTTCCTGCGGATTACGACCAGACCGAAACGACAGAAGGTGTACTTTGCTACCGGGAGAAAGAATCTGACGGCAGCCACGCGCTGGAAGACCCCCGTGTACCGATTGCGATCAAACTGCGCTCAGCTGTGACGTCTGCACGTGCAGACCCCAAGGAATCCAGTCCAACCTCAGACAATATTGCGAGCGTTGTTGGTGCGCATCGTCGCTTGATTCGCGACTGTGCAGCGGACGATCATGGAATACGTCGCTCCTTCTCGACACCGCAGATCATACAGAGTAGCAGTGTGCTAGAGGACATTCACGTCCCCCCTGATGATGGTCGCAAACACACGATCGAAGACTTTACGACACCATTGCCCGCTGGATGGGAGATGCGCGTGACACTGTCCGGTGCTGTCTTTTTCTTCCACAAGCAGACGTCTACTACGACGTGGACTGATCCGCGTTTGCTCCGGGCAGCACGTGCACCCTCCCCACCGAGGAGTCAGTCGATCCAGGAGCAGCCGCCTATTCGTACTTCTAGTGTCACAACGCTCGAGTCCCAACCATCACAGCCGAATTCAATCACAAGACGCGCCGAAAGCGTCGACGATGACTTCCAGTACATCGATGTGGTGTTTGAAGAACACGGTCCACTTGGGATTCGTTTCCGAGCCAATGTGCCGGACTCGGGCGCGACTGTGCAGAGTTTGGCATCGGGCACGACCGCGGTCGTAACGGACGTTATTGCGCCGGATGATGAGCTCATCGCCGTGAACAAGAATGTCGTAGAATCTGCGCCATTCCGCCACGTGATGTTGTTGCTACAAGGAGGATTGCGGCCTCTGACGCTCACTTTTCGACGAGCTCGTAACGAAGTGCAGCGTCCGATCGGTCCTGGCGTAGCTGGTTTGTCAAGTGACGGTGGCGTTTCGATTGATAGCAGATGTGATGTGGGAGGTGTACCAGCTACGATGCTGGACGAAGAAGATGTGATGGACGCAGAAGATGTGGTCGACGCAGAAGATGTGGCGGGCGGAGAAGATGTGGCGGGCGGAGAAGATGTGGCGGGCGGAGAAGATGTGATGGACGACGAAAATGTGGCGGACGACGAAGATGTGGTGGACGAAGGAACAGTTGTCGACTTGGAGCAGCTCCGAGTCCCGACAGCACCATCTCATCCTCCACCTGAACATCTAGTTGACAGCGAAGACACTATGAACGTTGCAGACGTTATCATCTCGAACATTTTCTCACTTTTCTGGAAGCCGGACACTTCAAGTGCGAATTAAACTACGTGTGGAAAGCAACGTGACTCAGGCAGACTATCGTTACAGTGGAGGTCCTAGACCGACCCATTGGGAGAAGAGATGGTGTATGCACTCTTATGTTTGCTGCTGTCGCTATGCACATGTATGCTTCCGATCCATGTTGTTGATAAAAAATACAGTGATCGAGAAGCAGACTGACTTGCCGGCCAGCGCATCCAGCGACTTCTTCTACCAGTGCTGACCTTAGGAATTGCATAGCGGACCACTGTGTCTTGGAATCTGGTTCCCGCGATCGATGTGTGTTCCTGGGCGAGACCGAGTCGTAAAACGGACGGGGTTGACACTTCTCCGGTTCTTCACATGCTTTTGTCAGCAATTCGATGGTACACATTCTCCGCGAGCTCGTTCACCGCCACCAGCGTCACAGCATGTAACGTCATTTCTTCCTCACCAATTGGCTGACCAAACCCACATCCTCGGTCCTTCCACGCAAGAAGCACAAGCCACATATTGACCAACACTTCCACAATACTTGAGTCGAGACAAGCTCCTTTCATTTGTCGAAGTATTCGATCACGACTGGCAGTCAAGGCGTCGTCAACACTTATCGTAGTCACACCATACACGCTCAACAAATGGACTGAAGATGTGGCAGCAGCGGCTCTACGGATTGTCAATGAGCGCAGGCTCGTTCATCGGCGCATTCAGACCCGCTGCAGTCGTCAATGTGCTGCTTTTGACCCCGCATCTGCTGTGTGGGCGTATATACGTTCGAGGTGAGCACTATTGCGACTTCAAGTCACGTGTTATGGCACTTGTCGCTGCTTGTCGCACACAATTGGGTACAACAGGTGGTTGATGTTATGCAACTGAAGTGCTGTTGTCAGATGTTGTAGTTAACGTCTGGCTCTTTAGCTGCATATCTACGCAACAGCTGAGGTCGGACAAACGCCTCTTGATGCTCGTTATGTGTTGGAATGAGGTTTGCGTAGCGAACTCATCGATTGGATGCGAAAAGTGAGGATCTCAGAACGCACTTCGCGACGAACAAAATGCGTCAAGCACTACGACGACTACGAGTATTGAGTTGTGTACGATACGTATGTTCACAACTTACGAGTATAAACATGTTTCGGATTACATGGGAAAACGATAGAATGTACTGATAACGAGCCTGCAAACATCGTAGCAAGTTGCGAGATTGAGTATCCGCAGTGTTTTTCCTCTTCGTGCGCAGATTATCAAGTGCAAGTTCAGTAGCTTCAGCTCTTGACGCAACAACAAAGTGAGCGTCGACTCCGCAGTGTTGAAATACAGTAAAAAGCTTATATGCGGCACCAGTAGGTCATCTACGCATGTGAAGCAATACAGAGTCTTCGTATCTTTCAAGCCCTGATGAATGCTGTCGTCCGAGAGCGTGTGGTCGTGTTCACGTTTTTTGCCATCGACGGCCACACGCTAATGGTCAGGTAGATTGCCTTTCTTATCCTATCGATACTACCGATAGGCTTCGCGTCCAGCGTGGTGGGACGAGCCCGTCAATGCATCTCCAGTCATCTGCATGACTCTTTGCACAATATCGAGTCTAGGCATGTGTGCACTCGAACGATGGTATCTGCATGTTAGTAAACGTATCGGAATGATATTTTCCATATTGTGGCGTATGGTTTCGACTGTGTGGTAACGTTGATGCATCTCTATTCTCCCTTGCAAAACGCTGAGCTACCACGTACCCTTGTGGTGACAATAATAACTATTCGCTCGCATGGCCTTCACTCCGAGTGGAACAACCTCGCCGGGATGTGTGACGGCTTGACCCTGTGTACATTGAGACGCAGACTCTATTGCTGACCTCGGATACGGACCATCGAGTCTAGAGAGTTGGCTGGATGTAGTGTGAATATCCACGTACCCTTTCGAACACATGGGCTTGGCAGTTGGACGAGGGGTCATGCGTTGTAAGGTGCATGAACCACAGTGATACGCTGTCACATAAGCTCAAAGTAACACACGTCACTGCTGCGTCGTGTCCACAAACATAATTCATTGCTGTCGAAGTCAGAGTGGACGTACATCTGGTCCTGCAGCTCTATGCGCGGCGCTGCTGCAAACTCTGAAGCTGCCTACTTTTGGCTCTGTTTCCAGGCAGAAAGGTGTTGCTAGCACGTTTCGCTTGCAACTGTCGCACATTCACTGGCTGCTTCTTCCTCAAGTCTCGAGATAAGTTACATTTGTTTTTATCATTCTTTGATCACGAGTGGTGTTTTTTGACATTGTCGCACTCGAGCGCCCTGCTCTACCAGCAGCCGTCCGGGCGGACTCGCACGTCGTTTTCAAGCGATTCGATGGCAAAGCGGATCATGTAGATCCAATTCCCAACTTCTTCTGCGCCTTCGACGCCAATAACAAACAAACGGCGTTCGTCGCTGAACACCTTTCCCTTCTTCCTCCATTCATACACCTCGACTTGAAAGCAGTTGGCTTTCCCAGCCACCTCCGGGTCGCACGCACTGACCTTAGCGCCCTTGAGAGAGAGCGATGTTTCGTGCGACGTACTCGCTGCTTGGAGCGGGGCAGCGATTGCCGAGATGTTTGCGATCGGGTCACTTTCTTCGTACTGCAGTTGCAAGCGTGCGTTTTGCAGCACAGCATAGCGCGACTTCCACTGCCGAGTGTTCTTGAGTCCTTTCAATTTCAGGTGCGAAAACACACTGCTGTGCTTTTTGACGACCACGTAACTTGACTTCAACCGCATGAACGTCGGCAGTGCGTGAAGTGTGCTGCTGGACGAGAAAGAAGATGTGGAGAAAGCGCTGCTCGGGCTGATGACTGGCGAAGAGTCATCTTCGCACTCGCTTTTCTGAGGCAACGGCGTTGTCGACAATTTGGGCAATGGACTAGACGCCGCGATACCAGTGTTGCTCGTGCTGGCGCCTTCTTGTGATCCGGTCGGCTCGTGTCCCGTGCGCACATTACAACAAACGAGAAGACGTTGCCGCCCACCGCCGCTATACACTGGAGATCGCGACTTGCACACATCAACCGAACGGGTTTGTGCTCGCCAAACATCGCTGTCATCGCCCGAAGCCGGGATAACCAATTGCTGCGGACGAGACAAACTCTCATTTGCCTTGGAGAAAAAATTGTGGCGCAGCTGCTTCTGCTGCTGTTCGCGGAGATCAACGATACGAGCGCTCAATTTGTCCAGCTGGCCCCGGAGCATTTGGTCGCGAATGACACCACACATGAAGCCGTGGCAGAACTCAAACTTGACTTTCAAATGGCTACTGGGTGACGATGCTGCTCGACTGTTGGGAGGAAGCGCCCCACCGATCGGCCTGGACGACGCAGGCACACCCCCAATGAATGTGTCAATTCGACGAATCATGGCCAGTTGTTCCAGGTCCTCGAGGTCTTGTGCGAACCGGGACAGGTGCGCCTCGATGGGACAAGTACCGCGGAGGGTCTCTTTGTCAAAAACGGGCCCAATGGCACTAGCGGTCTTCATGAGCATACGCTGTGAGACCGTCAGTCGATCAAGCATCGTAGTGAGCACACTCTTGACGGTTCGAGGAGGATGGGGCGCGACGCGGTTCATAAGCGTCCGAGCTTTCGACGCAGCGGGAGAGTTTGGTGATGTGACCAACGGCAGGGCTTGATCGACACTGCTGCCGGAGTGGAAAATGGACCGCAACCGGCTTTTCTTCCGTATCCGTTTGTCTGCGATAGCCCCTATGGCAGCGCCGATGCTTTGGCTCGATCCACTAGGCCGACGTGACGATGCAATATTGTAACATGTGCGACAGTGTCGCACAGGTTCGCTCGACTTTCCTACAAGCTTCGCTTGGCATGCTTTTGGAGTACATTCTGCGCAAAAGACGTATCCGCAGCATTGACATCGCTGCCTAGTCTTCCTTGCTGCTTCCTCGCCAAGAGCCACGTCAATGTCATTTCCTTTGACTCTGTCCTTCTTCGAGCCCAAAAAGCTCGCATGGCAGGCGAAACAAAACTCGGACTTGGACTTGTCGTCCCAAGGTTCCTGGACATGTAGTTCGCATCGGCGGACGCCTTTCTTTTCGTCCACCCGGATAACTTGTTGCTCCTGCATCTCAGCAATAATTTCGTGTAAAAAAAGAGGGTTCCCTTGTGACCGCGACACGAGTATTTCCAAGAGGTTGCCTGGAATAGAAGACACTTGCAGAATCTGTCGCGACAGCACCTCAATCTCTTCGCTGCGAAAAGTGTCCAGCGAAACACACGTCGAAGAATCCATCTGCTTCAGTGAAAGCAGTTGCTTGCGAAACGAAGCACTTGCGGTGTGCTCACCTCGAGCCAAGCTTGGCGGTTGCGTGCCAACCACAACCAAGCAGTTTGTAAAGTACTTTGCGATAATCTCGACCAAAACCCACGATTTCGCGTCCATGTACGTAGCACTGTCAAGACAGAAAACTGTTGCTCGTTTGCGCGACATGGCGTACAGCGCACACAGCAAAAGGACACCGCTGCTATCCAGATCGAAGGACTTCCCCTCGCGTTCACGCTTGTCGTCGCGGCAATCTGGCTCAGCATTGGTGTCAGCACGAACTGAGCAAACCGGTGACGGTCCAGACTCCTTATCCCGGGCAACTGCTGTATCCAGCAGACTGAAAAACCATGAAGCGATCTCCTCGTCCTTCAAATCTGGTGTTTTGTTGGGACTTTCGGCATGCGCATTCCTGACTGGGCACAGCTGCTGACTCTTATCGCTTGCTTCCGCCTCTTCACACCGGTGTTCGCACGGCTCTTCATACGTTCGACAGCTTCTGTTGTCAATTTCCACGCCATCCACGTCACCAGTGACATCATCGGTGTCGGGATAAGCATCAAAATCTGTGTCCAAGATTGCGTTCAGTACAGGCGCAAGTCGGACAAGTGCCGTGTTTCGCGCAGCACCCTCGCGAATCTTCTGCCTCACAAATCGCGCCACGCACTTTCGGCGTGCCATCTCATCAACTCTGGTCGGTGCCTGTGCAGCAGGAGTCAAGCTATCAACAGGAATGACGACGTCCGGAGAGAAATGGGGCTCAGACTGGCTGGCACAAACGTGGCCATTACGAAAACTCTCAGCCAATTCCTGAGCACGTCTGGTGATAAGCTCCGACCAAACTGCGTATGGCTTCTTCGTTGCAAACGGGCAAGCGGTACCAACTAGCACTTGGTACCCTCCAGCTTCGGGGCTGGCAAGGGCTGATCGAAGTAGCACGGTCTTACCCACACCGATGTCACCTTCAAGCACGAACGATCCACTTGGCGCAGATAAGCTGATAGTCGAACATTTCTCCATCAATGCTGTTCGGGCCCCTACATAGCTTTCACTTTCAACGAGCTCTGCTGCCGACAAGCGCTGCTGGTCTGCACGTAACGACAATCGCCGCTGAGCATCACGTACTTGTACGCGGTGCATGTTCTCCATCAGATTCGGTATTGGCGCAGCACGACTTACGATGGACAATGCATGGGCGCGCCCTTTTCGTCCACTGATCCCCGCTTCAGAACCTGCGGATGCGATCTCACTTCCGCGACAACAGTGTCTGATGGCAGAAGTAAGATGATAGTCGAGCAAAATCGACATACGTGGATACGGTCGGTGTATCTTGATACTTTCGTTCTTGCCCTTGACCATAATCTCGGGACGCTTCTCGAAGTGCAGCACGTCCTGAGCATAGATCTTTGTGCATGCATCCGTGATGACGCCACCTCCTTCGGACTTTGCACGTTGCATTAGACGTGCCGAGAGGTTTACGACATCGCCGAGCACAGTGTACTCTCGCCGATTCCCTTGGTGACCAACAACTCCACACAGGGCCGTGCCCGTTGTGATTCCCACAGAAGCCTTCAGACCAGTGTTGCCTAGCGCAGCACAGATCGCCAGCGAGGCTAAGATGCCACGAATGGGATCATTCTCGTGGGTCACAGGTGGCAGTCCGAATGCAGCAATGACCGTGCTACCTTTGTCGTCCACGAGAAACTTGTTGATCGTGCCTTCGTAGTCGTAAACGCATTTCTGGACGCAAGCAAACGCATGTTGCAGCCGCTGGAGCTCTTTCGCTCCTAGCATTTGTGCCAAGTCCTGCTCACTGCGAAAGCAAACAAAGCATCGCCATCATCATCATCAGTCGTCATGCAGCACAGAACCCATCCACAAGAGCAAGCAAATGTGTACCTGAAGCCAAGGTTTATAAATAATACAGTCACGTCACGAAGCTCAGAGCCCCAGAACTCGTCGTGGGCATCGAGGTACGGCCAAACAGCTCTGGAAACGTACTGCTTCATGCGCTCGTGCAGCAGTGCTTCATGGCGCGTGAATGACGGCCGCCTCGAGCAGATCTTGACTGGTTTGTGAACGCCAGTGACCTTGTAGAACGCATTCTCGGGCTCTGTTTCACCGCCTAAAGTAGCTGCTGCAACGGGCGCGCCATCGAAACAGTCGCTCACGCGCTTCCAGCACTCGCTCGAGCAAATCACGTCGCCTGCTTCTGCCTGGTGCTCTGCGTCGAACGCCTGCTCGAGCGCCGGGCCCACCGCAACGTACTCAATGCGAGCCGTCGCGCCGTCGCTCTCGCCGCCTAGATGGGCGATCGTGGCTTCCCCGATGCCCACACCCACTTTCACACTCAGCACGACCCCACGAGCGAGCTCGGCCGCGTGCAAGTGCGACTGAATGCGCAGCGCACACTGCAACGCACGACGCAATAGACTGTCCATGGCGTCTTCCTTGCTCTCGGGCCAGAAGATCAGCATGGCGTCTCCGGCAAACTTAAACACGTCGCCGCCTGCACTCGCCACGAGGCGCAAGAGCTGCTCAAAGTACGAGTTCAAGTGCTTCGCGAGGTCTTCGGCGCCAACGGGCCCGCGCGCCGCGAGCGACTCGGTCATGGACGTGAAGCCCGAGACGTCGGCAAACATACTCACGACGCGCGTGCGGTGGGTCGTGGGCATGGGCAGCGGGCGGAGCAAGTCCTGGCGCTCGAGGTGCCGACGCACGACCGCGGGCAGGTACGCCGTGAGCCGCATGTCGAGCTCTTTGCGCAACATGCCCGAGCTCAGGCGGCGGCGCAGAGCGCGCGGCGCGTCTGTCGCAGGGTGCTCGACCATGTGCGCACTCGGCCGCGAAATAGGAAATGAGCGTTACTTGGCGCGCTGGTGGTTGAAGTGACCATCACTCTTGTATTTTGCGCAACGCGGCGGTCTACCCCTGGCCCTGATGGTGTGGGTTACCTACCGCTCGCCGGTTGCCTTTCACACTTGAAACGCAGCGGTCAGTTCGCCCGACGACAATTACTGCGCCTACTACGACTACTTCTACGAATAGAAGTGGAGTAGTATCTTTATTGGTGAAAAAGCCGCGCGGGGTGGGTCCTTGTTTGTCTGCGCATGTCTCCCTCGCGCGACGGCAATGGCCGGTTTCCAGCTGGACAACGGCCAGCGCGCCGCTGGCTCCCCGAGGCCACGAGACGAGTGGGTCCATGTCTTTCCGCTGTCCCAAAGCGGTGATAGGCTCTGTGGCAAAAAGTGACAAAAAAGTATGTGACGTGGGCACACGGCGACTCGAAGGCCAGGAGTTTGGCGAACGAATTACCGGCTACTTCAGCCGCGCGTCCGACTCTACACCGAGTGTGGCCACACAAAACGCCGCAGATCCAGCGCAATAGCGACAAACGGTCGTCGAAAACTCACGACGGACGACGGGCGCACGGGTCAGACAACTTTATTGGTCGATGGAGCCATCAGCAGCGCGGCAGACGAGGCTGGTGCGGTTAGGTCTCGACGCCGATATGATCGCTGCCATAATGTTCGATATAAAGTTGGCTGCGCCGTATGCAACGTTGCACGGCGTGTGTGGAGACCCGAAAGATCCGCCGCCTGCTCGAGTGCCTTCGACACTTGCGCAGAAAAAACGAACCAGCTGCGTGTGCGTTATGCAGCTTCTTGTCGATCCACGCGAAACGACGAGTGTCTGTCTGACCGCGTGAGGACACACTCCGACTGTTCGTGTCAGCGACAGCCTCGAAGTGATACTGATAAAAAGGGTACCAAAAAAAGAGCACAGAATGTGTGGCATTGCTCGACCAGTTACATTACTTGGACGGCTGGCGCCACGCGGCCATTTCGTCCTTCGTCTGTTGAGACGTACCGACGTGTTCATGTTCGTAACCGAACCGAAGTCGACAGCTCTCCATGCCGCAGTCGAAACCTCGATGCTCCGACTCGTTCTCGTCTGTAGGTTTTCTCCGGCTCAATTGGCTTTGCTTTGCCGAAGGAGGATACACACGTTTGCTGGCCAGTACACTGCACTTGCTCAACCACGGCAAAAAACGCGCTTCCCAAAGACCCTCGACTTCTGTGACGAGAACCGTGTAATCCAACACGATCGAATCCACGCGCTCGCCACGGCGAAACGCCGCCAAACAGGACTTGGACGGCAGCCGCAACTGGCACAACGTGTCGTCATCGACTCGGTCAGCTACCACTACTGCGTGGAATTTCGTTCCTCGAAACGTTTGCGCCACTGCAGCCATTTCGCTCCGCATGACCCGCCTGAACTCCAGCGACGCAGCAGCGCTACCGTCGACAACGAGCACGACCCGCGGCACATCTGGTTCGTTCTGCAGCTCTTGCACCAGTTGCTCGAGCTTCGTATCGAGCACAACGCCATACCCGTCAGTCGCATCTCGTGCTGCCTTCTCGAGCTGCTGCTCGAACTGTTGACGACGCGCGGCCAGCATCATCTCCATGTCCTCGTCCAAGTCGTCTGAGTCGATGTCCGAATCAGACTCGACGGACGCAGATGACAGTAGTGGAACTTGAGGCGCAACACTTCCAGTCGGTCGCACGAGCAAAGCAGTCGACGGGGGTTGAAAGAGCTGCTGACGTCTTCGCACGGCGCTGGACGTCGGGTCGTGCGCTGTGAGCACTGCCTTGAGCTTCATGGCCTTCTTGTACTCGTGCGCGTCGCGCTCGCAGCACGAAGCCAGTGTTGGGTCGAACGCCATGTCCGCCTCGTCTACGTCCTCGTGGGCGTGCGCGCCGTGTGCACATGACGCAGTCGCACTTGTCGCCATTGCTTCCGGCTGCTGCGACATGCATCAACGCAAAAAAGCTAAAGATATAAAAATAGATTGACAAGGACTGACGTCTCAGTTTTGTGCACGGACATTGGTGCAAAACCTTCCGCAGCTTGCAAATACTACGCAGACATGCTCGGCCCGCGTTTTCACGACATCGAGCTGCTGGTTTATTGGCTCGCTGCCTGCGCCTGATTGGCTAATAAACACGCAGGCGCTCCCGCCCAGTCATCCTCACGCCTCCTCACAAGTCAAAGACCTCTTCGTGCCCGAAGAAGGTGACGTCAGACCTCGTCTCGAGCCGCATCGTGCGCCTCGCAGCGGCAGAGCAGCGCTCTCGCTCACCCAGTTGCTCGACGGATTATCTCTGTCGCGTTCTACTGCGTCTGTCTGTCCAGTTGGTGTCCCCTGCCGGTTCCAGCAGCAACGCTACGTATACACATCCATCTCTCTCCCTATCTCTCCCACAATGCAAGCCTCTTCGCTGACAACGACACGCGTTGCGCATGCAGCGCTGCGCCACGTGTTTAGCCGGTTCAATGATCGCTGTCGCCTGCAGCGCTGTGCGTTGAGCCGCTTGTCGCACCAGTACAAGAGCTCTTTGGCAGCCGAAGCCGCTACGGCCGAAGCGACGGCGGACGTTGAAGCGTCGGACGCGTTCGAAGCTGTGGAGCGTCGTCGCCTTGTCAAAGCCGACTGGGCCGTGCGTGCTCAGCAGATGATCCCTCGATCGACGGTGGAGAAGCCGTATCAGCTGGCACCGCTGACGCTGCGTCTGCAGAAAGCAATGATGGAGGTAGACAAAGAGGGGGCGGATTTGGCCACTAATGCGACGAACAAGCGCTCGTACATGTCGGATGAGGACGTGGACAAGTGGCTGGAGGAGTTTGAAGTCCCTGAGGAGCGACTGGCCAAATGCTCGACGCAGGCGGAGGTGCAGGAGATGCGTCGTCGCTATGCACGACAGCTTCGTCTCGAATGTTCAGTGTACGAAATGGCAATGGACAAGTACTCGTCATCGCACGAGAAGGTGCGCCAGCTGGGTCGAACGACGGAGACGAATGCAGCAAAAGGTCTGATTCGCAAGTGGATGCCGATCGCGAAAGCACATATCGAGTCGGAGCAGAAGAAGATCAAAGCGGGCAAACACAGTACGGACAGCAATATCTATGGTCCAGCTTTGATGATTTTGAAATCGGATGTGCTCGCTGCGACGGGCATGAATATCATGTTGAACGCGTGTCTGATGGAGCCCGCGGGACCAAAGTTCATCAAACTGGCTTTGGCGATGGGCAAGGCCGTGCAAGAGGAGATTATTGCGAGGAAAGAAGAGTCGGCCAAGCGAAATAACAACAAGATGGACAAGTTTAGTCTGAAGCTGATTGAAGACGTGAAGCTCGAGAGTCTCAAGAACCGTATACGAGAGTATATTGACAATGTCGGAGGTTGGGACAAGCGGCTGCAGCTAAAGGTTGGTGCTGCGGTCGTTGACTGCATTCAGCGCACCTGTTATGTGCCGAACAGCTCGGGTCAGGTGCTTACGCCTGAGCTGTGTGCAGCTAAAGGGCTTCCTGCTCCAGAGCCAGCCTTTGTCCACAATTATGTATTCGACCGCAATCGCCGTGCGGGTGTGATCCAGATCCACCAGAAGATGGCTGAGACAGTACTGGCGACGAATCCGGATGCCAACATCCTGCCCTGGACTGCGCGGTACTTGCCAATGCTTGTGCCTCCTCGTCCGTGGACCGGTATTGTGAATGGCGGATACCTGAAGCTGCGTACAAAAGTTATGCGACAACGTGACTCGGCCTGGCAAATGGACTGTGTCCAACGCGGTGAAATTGGCGGTATCTTGAAAGCGTTGAACCTCATGGCGGAGGTGCCATGGGTGATCAACAAAGAGGTGTTGAATGTCGTGCTGCAGATATGGGAGGATGGCGGCAACTTTGGCGACCTGCCCACTCGCACTGATATTCCTCTACCGGATCAAAACAGCCCCGAGTTTGCAAATGACCCCGCGCTCTACTACAAGAACGTCCGCAAGGTAAGCTTGGGTGTTTGTATTGTCGCAACGGAATCAAGCCCATATGACCGCTTTCACGTCATGTGGGTTCAAACTGATTGCAAAAGCATGCGGTTGCTGCTCGAAGGCTTCTGGGTGCTGGTAACCTGAAGCCACTCGGGAGGCTCCTTTATGGAGCTGCGTAACCCACATATTTGTCTGAACGCTGTGTATGCATACTCACATTACATGTTTTTTCGTGGTGGTTGGTGCAGATCGAACAGCTGAATCGGGAGTTTCACTCGTTGCGCTGCGATACACTGTACAAGCTTCAGGTTGCTGAGGAGTTCAAGGACGAGCCTGAGCTCTATTTCCCGTACAACATGGACTTTCGCGGTCGTGTGTACCCGATTCCGCCAAACCTGAATCACCTGGGCTCCGATCTTTCCCGAAGCCTGCTTATCTTTCGTGATCGCAAGCCATTGGGTGAGCACGGACTACGCTGGATGAAGATCCATCTGGCCAACGTCTTTGGTGTAGACAAATGCTCATTTGATGAGCGCGTGGAGTTTGCGGATGCGCATTTGGACAAAGCCGTGGCGTCTGCGCGCGACCCACTTGGTGAGGGCGATAGTGCGTGGTGGAAGGGTGCTGACTACCCGTTCTTGGCACTGGGCGTATGCTTTGAGCTCAAGCGTGCGATTGAGTCGCCTGACCCAACGAAGTACATGTCCAATATCCCGATTCACCAGGACGGCTCGTGCAATGGACTGCAGCACTATGCCGCTCTTGGCCGTGACGATCGTGGCGGTGCTCAAGTAAATCTGGTGCCAGCGTCTCGTCCTAGTGACGTGTACATGGGTGTGGCGACGCAGGTACTGGCAAAGGTGGAACACGATGCCGCGTTGGACGTGCCTGACGTGAAGGAAGTCGCCGCGATGCTTGAGGATGCGTCCGGCGTTCGCAGAATCGAGCTGCTGAAGCTGCAAAACCAAGCGCACAGGAAAAGATGCGCTCGGTTCCTACAAGGCATCATCACGCGCAAAGTGGTGAAGCAGACAGTGATGACGAGTGTGTATGGTGTGACGTATATCGGCGCTCGGAAGCAGATTTCCGCTCGTCTGCACGAGACGTTCCTCACAAAGGGGCACATTATGGACGATCAATTGGAGGATGACATTTATCAGGCCGCGTGCTACTGCGCCGAGCTGACGATGGGCTCAATGGGTGATCTGTTCACCTCAGCACGTGGTATCATGGAGTGGCTGGCCAAGTGCGCTGCTCAGGCGGGTGAGAGCGGCCAACCCATGTCGTGGATCACGCCGTTGGGTCTGCCGGTGGTACAGCCATACCGTAGCAAGTCTACGAAACAGGTGCGCACGAAGGTGCAGCATGTGTTGATGGTGGAAAGTGAAGGACGGCAGGTAAGCATCGGCCGCCAGAAGTCAGCTTTTCCGCCCAACTTCGTTCACTCGCTGGACTCGACGCACATGATGCTGACGGCGCGCCGCTGTCTCGAGGACGACAAGATCTCGTTTGCCGCCGTGCACGACAGTTACTGGACGCACGCGTGCTCGGTGGACACAATGAACAGTCGATTGCGCGAGGAGTTTGTGAATTTGTACGAACGGCCGTTGCTGGAGGACCTGCTGACGGAGCTGCGGTTGCGTTTTCCTGATATGACGTTTGACGATGTGCCTCGATTGGGCACGTTGGATCTCCGCAGAGTGCTCGACAGTCCTTATTTTTTCAACTAAAGCACGGGTCGAGCGCGTTTGCTGATGATCGGGTCAGGCTGATCGGACAGCTATTTTATTGCCCTCGTTCCGAATGTCCGATGGGTCTATCTAGAGTGTAACAAAGTTCAAATCAAAGCCGACCACGCGATTGTTTGTGGTCGTGAGTTTTCCGTTGCTGTTCGATTGCAATGACTTTGTGAGTTTTCGAGCCACGAAAAGGTCTCAGGCAAGTCGACTTGCGGGTCCCTATCATTGTCAACGCAGCGGGTCATGCAGCTTGGAAGCGATTGCAGCGCTTGTGCTCGATTCGCGAAAAGTCAATGGCAAAAGGTCGATGCATCGAAGTACAATGAAGACACTCAATAAGCTACGCTGCAATGTCGAAAGCAGCTTTTCGCAGACACGTGGTCACTCCAGTGTAAGCAGATCGGAATCTGAGTGCAGCAGTCTCGCGTTCGCAGCAGGTTCGGCGAGAATGTACTTGGCAATGTCGATAGATTGTGAGCTTCTCATGATCCGACGGTGGAGCATTGTCGTGCAAGTAGTTTGACTGGCAGAGGCTACGTGATGGCTACAAATACAGGGTAAGCTACCTGCAAGAAGTATTGATATGTGCCGTGGGGCATACGTGTAAGACATCACGGCCAAGAGAAACAAATGCTGATGTGCAAGCGAACAAAAATACACCCTATATGCTATCCATCTACCCACCTCACCCGCATCAACGTGCGAGGTCCTTCTACACAACAAAATGCCTGATCATCGTGATTCAAAATGCCGACTTGTGGTATGTCGACTGCGTCAAAGCTTTCACTGAATTGCCGTGGACGCTTTAATGCGTTATGGCAAACGACACCACTCACTTACGTGCACAAGGATGCCTTTATTCATCCTCTACAGCTACTTTGTGGTACCTCGATATCCAGAACACGATGCTATGGGCGCATGCATCGATGCACAGCGGTACTGCTAAGTATCGGTGAAATGGTGTAGCTACAGCTCTACCACTGCGCCCATTGATCCGTCCAGCGATGTGTTGCAGTCCAAACACTCGACAAAGTTGTAGCATAGTTTATTGCTTATTCCAAAAACGTGTAGTACAGTGCCCCGATCATCTACAACATCTCATGTTGTACAACGAGGACGTAGTGGCGAATGTATGGCTGCCTTGCAACGCGTGAGGTGAGCAAGTGCAGTTACACACGGTCCGGATGAGGAGAGCTATATAGCTTGCTGATTTTTACGCGGCCTGTAGCTGCTGCTTACTCGACCTTTTGTGCTCGATCCACCGACCTGTGTTTTCCACACCTGCTTTCACGGCAACTGCATACCGTAGTCAAGCTGCCCATCCTCGATAAACAATGAGGACTCATGGATCATCGAGCACCAATACTCCCGAGAAAACGTTCTGCGACGCAAACTTATCAATGACCAACGAGTACCTGAAGTAGAACACGTTGCTCGAGCAAGACCACTACACGCGCAAAGAGAGGAAAATGGAGCGTGTCGAGTTGCGTGTGCTAGCAGGACGAATAACGAAAGCCACGACAGGTATCGGGTAACAAATTATACCGTTGATAGAATGTGGGCAGTCTGCCCCACTCAAAGCATGCGCCAAGTCACGCGCGTGATGCAGAGTTTCACACTTTGTCACATGTGGCCCAGGCTCATACTTTGGTACGCAAAGAGAAACGTACGAACAACAGTCCTCTGACCAATGGCCAAAGCTTCTGCAGTTGCAGCAATAGTAGCAGCAAATTGGAACAGGCTCTGCAAATGTGGCTCTTTTGACCACATAAGTCGTCCCGTTGATCCCATGTCCAATTTCACTTGTTTTCGATATGCTGCCACCGTCCCGCAACACCCGAAAGACGAAAGAGCGCTCGAAACGGCCACAAGTTCGATCCGATTTTTGCTTTGCGACTTCAAAATCGATTCGGAACAACTGTAGTTGACCAAATGGCTCCACTTTTCGAGGACGACAACGACAGCGACGAAGACGGACAGGACATCTTCAAGTCCGAAGCGAGCGACGACGAGAGTGAATACGACGAAGACGAGAGCGAAGAGCTCGTTCCGCCGAGCGCCTATCGAATGACAGCTTCCAATACAAACGAACAGCAGCCATTAAAAACAAAAAAACAAAAGGCAGAAAGTGGGACATTTGTGGGTCGGCAGCAGTCCACTGCCAATGCAAATGCTGTTGTGGCTTCGAAGGGACAGGTGAAGCTCGCGACACTGGAGGCGGAAGTCCAGTGCATCATTTGTCGCAACGCTTTGTTCAAGGTACTTTTTCAATGTTCTTGTGGTTGGAAGTGTAGTGTTCTCTTTGCAAGTGGATTGTTGTTAGTTGTTTTAGAAGCTCACAGGACTGTCGAGTTGGGTTTTGCAAACTCGTGTATCGAACATGTGTACAGCCAGTGTCAGTCGTCTGTGGACACTCGTTCTGGTACGTAATACTGCTGTTGTAGTGCAAACGACAGAGAAACATGGAGAGGTGGGCGTCTGAAACAGAATTGGGACGGCGTCTATTGATCTTTTGTCGCTCATTCTTCGTCGTTGTCGTTGCTGATAATGGCGTTGTTAATGAATGGATGTGCTGTTGTTGATGTGTACGCAGTCGCGTGTGTCTTCTGGACTCGTTGTTGACAAGGCCGCTCGAAGAGGCGCAATGTCCGATCTGCCGCGTTGACATTTTGCTGCCGTTCTCTGCCAAAGCGACGTTAGCGTCGATGTTTTCCATCAACGTCACATTGTGGAATCTCGTACAGGTACGTGCTGTGTCGTACGTGCGTCGATGACTACATTGACGAATGAATGGCATTTGTATCGTGCATCCGGTTTCGTGGACGTGCAGCTTCTGGTTCCGTCAGTCACGGAGAGAAAGCTGACTCATCAACGCGAAGAAGACCGAGACTTTGTGCAAAAGCTGGACCAGCTGGACACGAAGCGGAAGATCTCAACACTTGGCGAGAGAGCAGCACGCTATCACGGAGATGCAGGGCACGAGACGTCGGTAGGCCGACGGGAGGAAGATCGTGAAGGTCACGAAGAGTACCCCGTGCTCAAAGTTGAAGACACGGACGATGGTGAGTTACACGTCTCACGCAATGTAGTGCTCGACACGAACGACGAAAACGAAGACGGGTATGCAAACATGCGTGTCGGGATCGCGATCGTGGAGTTTCCGAGTATTTTTGAATCATTCAACGAGCACCAGGAGTGCTCGGTGAATGTCCTCAAGATGGAGGAAGACGAAGAGATCGCGGATGGGATGCCATTTTTCATGAACGAGGACGGCGACGACGACGGTTTGGTTTGTAGTTCCTACTACAACGAAGTCCGTCTCCGTGTCTGCGACGAAGCGGTTCGTGCACTGAGTGTGTGCACCTATATTTTGTTACCGAACGAGAGAGTCATGTGTGTAATGCTATGGGCTCCATTCGTAGGGCAACTGCGTGATGGAGCGAACGCGAGGAGCAGAGGCGGGTGCAGTGACATTTCCAGCTTTGCGGCTTGACGTTCCTGGTGGTGCGATTGCATGTTTCGCATCGCACGAATGTTTCATTACTACCTCTTCGCGAGTACTAACAACTTTGCTGCCGCGATGATGTGCCGCATTCAGGTGTGTACACGTTTTGCTTCACGGACGACCTGTACGGTCTGAAGCTCAGCATCACGACCCGTTTGCGTGAGCCGCATGAGATCACCGACACGCCTGTGGCCGACTACGTCAGTCTCATCCATGATGAGGCGAGAGACGCAAGTCGCCGTAGTCGTCATACACGTTTGGACAGCGACAGTGAACGCGAATTCAGTGAAGAAGCAAACGAGTCAGACGACTCCTTTATCGTGAACGACCTCGATGAAAACGAGCAGCTCAGTGACAACTCGGTGTGCGACGAAACTGAAGGCTGCTGGAAGTACCATAGCGACGACGAAGCGGCAGATGAAGCAGAAGCACGACACCGGGCGAGGAAGCGACAGCGTTCGGGTCGACGGTCGGAACGAGACGGTCAAGGTGAGCTGAATGATTGTGACGCGGAGGAACGGGGCGTGGAAAGTGATGGTGAAGGGCGAACAGAACGCCGTGCCGTTCAAGTTGTGGAAGACGGCGCGTTTTCCGTCGACGAAGATGCTGACCGGGAGGATCACAATGACATCGATGCTGCCGAAGAAAGCAACACTGACGAGGAACAGCGTGACGTTCACGAAATTACTCGTCCACGTCGGCGAAATGCAAATCAGATCTATGACAGCGACGACGAAGACGACGAAGGTGAAGGTGTGCATGCATCATTCCGAGAGCAAAGCAGCGATGAAGATGTAGATGCACTAGTGGACGAAGATGACGTCAGTAGTGGTGCAGTGAGCGAAAGTGACGAAGATTGTGGAGGCCGTGACTATAGGCACGTCAAGAAGTACTCAAGTATTTCTGTGGACGATCATCAGAGCGAAGAGGACGACGCAGTTGCATTCGGATGTGGTAACAAAGTGCAGAGACTCCGAGACGACGAATTGGACGAAACAGCTCAACACGTTGGGTCGAGTTCAGCTTCTCGTCCGGATGCGAACGACAAAAGTCCTGAGAGAAGACCACGAAAACGGGCCCGAAAAGCTCAAGTTGGCAATGAAGCCACGAGTGACAAGGAGGTCAAGCAAGTGGAGCGCTCGAGAAGTGGAACAGTAGCAGAGACGGAGCATGTTCACGACGCCAATGTTGAAGCTGAAGACGCCTGCGTTGATTTGCAACAACGGCCATCGGATCAGTCAGATGACGAATTAGAGGATGAAGCGGGTCGTGAAGCTGACAATCTATTGCAAGAAGGAGAAGAAGAAGATAGTGAAGAAGCAAATCAAAAAGTGAATGACGAAGAAGAAGAAGAGAATGAAGCAAAAGGTTATGGACAAGAAGATGGAGACGAAGAAGAGGACTACGATGATGATGATGATGGAGAAACTAATGAAGATGACGGAGAAGAAGGAGTAGGAAATGAAAAAGACGAAGAGGAAGAAGAGAGTGTGGAAGAACGCACAGAAAAAGAAGAAGACGACGACGACGCAATGGACAATAAATGACGATCGAAGTGGTAGGCGATAATTGATCAGTTCGTCATTTTAGACGTTGCAGACGTTTGAATTGCGCGACAGATGATAAATGAGGAAACGCACCTATTTTCTACTGCCGCAACATAAGCTGAAAATCGTACGTTTCTGCGTGAAAAAAGCGCGTTTTTCTCGCACCTGGTGCCCCCACCGAACGAGTCGCTTTTTTCCACTCCTCCGTCAATGGCGGCGACCGACAATGTCTCGTTCGCGCAGGGCCTGTTCGTGACGCTGTGGCCCAAGGTCGAGCGCTGCCACGACTACGTCGAGCTCCTCTTGGTCGCTCAAGAGACGCTGCAGCACACGGTGGATAAACTCATGGCCGGTACGACTCTGCTGCCGCTCGGCATCGCGCTCTCTCACCAGTGTAAAAAAGCACTTTGCTCATTTTATACGCTTACTCTTTTTTCTGCTTTGTAGGTCTCCAAGAAGCAGACAAAGCAGACGCGTGCTCGATCGAGCGCTACGCTGACCGACTGCGCCACTTTCCCGCGCGCGTGGAGACACTGGAGAAGAAACTCGTGCGGATCCGAGCGCGTCTCGTGGCGATGAAGAAGGCGCAGGGCCACGATGTGTGCGCCACGAGCGAGCAACCGGCCGTGTACGCGACGACGCCGTTGTTTTAAACAGGTATTGACGTGCTCGAGGACTTCAATGGCACTGGTGGTGCTCAGCGCTCGGCCTCGAGTTTGATGGAACGATTTCTGCTATTGGTACTGCTGGTGCTGCTGCTGCCACTGCTATTGGTACTGCTACTGCTGCTGCTACTGCTGGTGCTGCTACTGGTGGTGTTATCGGTGATGAGGATACTGAGGTGCAGAGCCATTTGCTTCATCAGGTCACGAGTAAAGACGCGGAGGCCGTAATGAGGACTTTTGTCTGTCTGTCTGTCTGTCTGTCTGGTACTACAAATGTTGTTGTCCGTCTACTGCACTTGGACATTGGTGTTGTGCTACTCACACTGGCGGTCGAAGCAGTTCACTGACGCTCCATAGCTGCAGTCTCAATAGCCTCTTGCGGATCGATGGACAGTTTGGCTGCTCTCGTTGGCTGCATCATGAACTCGGACGCTCGATGTTGACTTTTTTCTGCCAGGCGACCGTCTGAGTTGTATTCCACGCGCTGCAAATGTGACAATACAAAAAGCGCACGACCGCGTCAGTGTTTGTTTTCGCTTTTCTTGCGGCACGAGTGTTTTAAACACTTGTTTTTAATGAAAAAAATAGCACTCAAACAAGGAGGAAATAGCAGTCAAACACACGCACCTGCGGTCTTCGGTAGAGATATTCGGTCGCCGAAGCTGCGGCGGCGCGAACAACGCGACTTGTGGTGTGTGAACAGCGCGTTTGCGCTCCGTCTTCAGTGCTTTGGTTGCTGCTGGTCGGCTCAGCTGCTCGTTCTTGCGCTTGTTCGTTGCCTGCGCGGGAGCACCTGACACTGATCGAATTATAGTACTCGTCAAGACGCTGCGTGTGTCGCTGGCAAAGAGCGCGTCTGCTGACGGGAGCGCGTGCCGCGTGGCTGTTGACGTGGCGTAAGAAGATACGGCGGCTGTACTTGTTGGTGCTGCGTGTGACTCTTGATCGTCCGAAGAGCTGGAGGAAGAGGCGTAGTCGTCACCGAGCAGGAACGACGCCATGGCCACGAGAGCCAGCTGGGTAGACGACGATGACTACTACTACTACTAGTTTTACTACTACTACTACTACTACTACTACTACTACTACTACTACTACTACTACTACTACTACTACTACTACTACTACTACTACTACTACTACTACTACTACTACTACTACTACTACTACTACTACTACTACTACTACTACTACTACTACTACTATTAGTACTACTACTACTACTGCTACTACTACTACTAGTACTAGTACTACTACTACTACTACTACTACTACTACTACTACTACTACTACTACTACTACTACTACTACTACTACTACTACTACTACTACTACTACTACTACCAACTCATTAAAATTTAAATTAAATACAAAGAACATGTCATAGAATCACTGTAGTGGTTCGAATGTAAAGACTACGCGGGCTCAATGTCGTTTGTAACACTTTATTGTTTCTGTAGATGATGTCATTTGTTCTTGTCAGGTGAGCTCTCCGAAGAAATGTGGCCACCGCAACCTCATCGCCCCGCACAAGCCGTTCCGATACAGTAAAGCAATGAAGGTCGACTTGTGAGCAAAATCACTGGCCTGGCTTCCCGTCATGGTGCGCTTCTTTTGCATACGACTTGATTGGAAGATTGTGTGTGACGATATCCTCAGTGCAAACAATGACTCTTCGTATATTCTGGACGGCGGCAGCGATAACTAATGAACTACAAGCAATGTGTTTACCTTAGAGTAGTCCGACACCGGTGTCGCTCTGGTGCAACAAAGTGCACTTCAAAGGCAGTTCGCTGCTTTGGCATGTAGAAGCCGTCCGAACAGCTGCATCGTGTCCACTGTTTTGATCACAAACTTCGACGGCATCGTCAAGTATGTGTGACTGCATTCTCATAGTCATAGCAATGATAAGCCACAGCGCATGTGAGCATTTTGACCCAACGCTTCTGCAACGCACATGCCGCACAGGATGAGCGATACACTGGAGCTGTAATGTCGCTCTTTGTCAATCAAAACGTCTCTTTGGCGCGCTCATACACATTGCGCGACTCTCAGCTCTGATGGGTGTTGCGCTTTACTGTCAGAAAGAGCAGAGAGACGACATGTACATACCTACTCCAGTCACTTCAGCTAGCGGGGGGGGCTTATGATGATAATGAGCCTTCATGTGACGCCATGATGCCTATCGTAGACACTGTGATGATTTGTGTACGTCATTGTTTGTAGGCGATTGAAGGCATGGGCGTCTGTGCGTGTCAGCAAGTGCCCGGTGAGAGGGCTGGCCTTTTGCTTCTTTACGCTTTGCAATTGTACAAGTGGTCCGAGATATACAAAAGCGCGAAGAAAAGTCTTCACATGAGTTGACTCACGGAATGGCGATTGCAGAGGTTGACTTGCTGTTTCAAGCAGCGATCAGAACCATATCTACAGCTTTGATCGCGTTCGGTGAAAGCTGCTGATCTGACTCTTTTTGCTAGTTGCTTACGCTTCGTGAACATATACGAAGTCAAACGAACCGACACACTGCGAGCTCGAGTCGACACTGTCGCGTTTCTTGAGTCGGATAAAAAGCAGCAACACCTCACTGCTGTTGCGTGTGAGCGCATCATATATTTCCATAGCAGAGAACCTGCTGCATCGCAAGAAGTAAGCAAGACAAGACAGATTGGTGTCAACAGTCACTACAAAGAAGCGAAGAAAAAGATAAGTACAGACATGAGAGGACAACGGAAGCGAAGCGCGTGCCACAATCGAAGATAACCTGAAACCATCGGTCGAGCAACTGCAGTTCTCTTTCCGCAGCGCTTTCGAATTTCTACTATTACCGCAACTGTTTGGATCTCAGTCCTCATCTATTCCGTCGTCTACGAGTCATGATGTACTACGTGGTAAAGTGAAGGCAAACGTATTTGACGCGTCTTTTCTGGCACGAATCCTGTGTTTGATAACAATCGTCGTAGCGCTTCCAGTCTTCCCGGTGTACATGTGGCTTGTAGCTTCGTCACGATCGTTGACACAATAAAGAGCGTGTGCGTTGTCCATACGCGACAGGATTGATACGATCGCACAAGAACAAATTCTCGAGTCCATCAGCTACAACCAAATGTTCTGCACGGACGAAGACCACGTTGTCCCAAGCACATTCACACCCATAACCAGGATATCAACTCAGCATAAGCTACAGCGCTTCTCTCACGTGGCACAAACGCGTATAAAAGATTAGCCAATTCGGCCACTTTTCTGCCATAAGTTTTGAGGTTTATCGTACCTCATTCGCCACCCCAAAAACGCCATGTACGTCCAGGGCCGACGAGCGAACGTACGTACCTCTTCCCGTCTCTCTCTGTCTGTCGTTTTCTCTCTCTAACGCAGTATGATGACCTGTACCAGGCGCGTCTTCCTCCTGAAGTAAACCGCGTTCTATACGTACGCAACCTGCCGTTCAAGATCTCGTCTGAAGAGCTCTACGACATCTTTGGCAAGTACGGGGCCATCCGCCAGGTCCGTCTGGGCGTGAACAACGACACGCGGGGGACGGCGTTTGTGGTCTACGAAGACATTTACGACGCCAAGAACGCCGTGGACCACTTGTCCGGCTTCAACGTGTGCGGCCGCTACCTCATTGTGCTCTACTACCAGGCGAACAAGATGCAGCAGCGCAAGGGCGCGGCCGTCGACTTCGACAAGCAGAAGCAGGAGCTGCAAGACCTCAAGCAGAAATACGGCGTGGAGTGACGAGAGTATAAAAAGAGAGGGAGCATGGAATCGTGCAGGTCGTGTTTCGAAGGACTCTGTGTTTTGATATATCGATGCCCGACGCGACAACGTGAATAAACCTCTGCTGCATACGACCGCTTAAACTGTTTTCTGAGCAATGCCGTAGCTAACGTGGAAGCTCAACTTCCATTTTGACTGAAGATGTGCTTAGCAGCATACGAAAAACCAGTGTCACGAACTATGTCAAAAATTGATTATGTCCAAGACGCAAGACAATGCGATTCAGTGGTGGGGTATCGTATGCGGATGGTGGATCAATATGGACACAGCTGATAGGTGAAGATGAACAAGCAGAGGCGTAGCTTGTTGTCCTCTGTTGGTGTTGTGTATGGTCTGTCTACACAATGTGGTCGCTCAGCTTGTAGCAATGCCATGTAGGTCTTGCTATGTCTGACAGATTGCTCCACATCTTTGTGGTAGACGGACCGAAGGCAGGAAGCCGCAGCATTTTGCTGAGCACGAATGGTGTAACTTTGTGACGTCATGTGATACGAACACACTCAAGAGTTTTGCAATTAGTATCAGTGAATGATGTGCCGTTGCAGTACAAGCGCAACAAGGTGTACTAGAAGCCAAGCCAACTTTACTCCTGCCATGGTGAGAATAATGCAACGCCAAGGCACGGTCGTACGCTAGCAAGGACTTGTGGGATCTCACACGCATATCCATCGATCTGATGCGTCGCGTTACATAGTGTCATACCGTTCCTTTTCCACTGATGTAACTCAAACCATTCGGGATAGCCAACAGTTGACGTTCAATGGGAGTTGTGTAGCAGCCACTGAAGACGTTGTTCAAAGCCGATAGCAAATGATGGCTTGATGAAGAACATGGAAAGGGCCATGCGTGCGACTCAGCATTCGTTCCTGATCGACATTCGCTGAAATGAAGATGATGTTTTATCAAGATCGGTGGGAAGCTGAGACCGCCATCGTCGATCCTGGCAAACAGCTGCTGAGAACGAACGATGCCGCTGATGACGAAGCTAAGACGCTACTACTCCTTCTGGCAACTGATCTGCATGTTGTTGATGCTGTAAGAGGGAAGGCATAGGATATCGGGATCTTGAACAATTCTTGGTTCCTTCAACCAGCTTGATAATCGTGACATGCGCTTATGGATTGTATTTAACTTCCCGTTAAACGGTATGACGTCGGGGGGTCATCGAATGCGGCTCGTGTTGCAGCTCGCAGCTAACTGTCAACGCAGATCCCAGATTTCAGGCTACGGACAGGGTGAAGGTGTAGCAACGACAGAGAACAAACATTAACATTGATAACACTTCTCATTTTTCCAAGTTCGTTCAAAGCGATTCCTCTTCTAGCTGAGAGTTGTTCTTCTTTATAACCCCTCTGCGAGCCAAGGGTTGTCAATCGCCTCAAGCACTTCGTAAGTGTATGAAGAGGCTACGTTCCTGAGGCACTTCCGGAACACATAGTGAATGGGTGTCGCATGGATTGAAAAGCCTTTAAAGCAAAGTTGAGCCCAGTTGCAGAAAAGCAAGCACGTGCCGTCACCAGCGAAGACCTCGCGGAGTCTTCGACCCAGACACAGCTCGCCATGAAGAAGAGGCATGTAGGAAGCCGTAGAGAGGAAGGCAAACATAAAAACTAGGCGGAAGAAGGGCGATCCACCGATGCAGTGATCGGTCTCCTGCGGCAGGATGCAGACGGACACAACATTCTCAGAGAGTCAGACCTTTGCACTCTGCAGCTTTTCGTCAACGACTTCAAGAAGAATGCTTGATTGAAAGTCAGCCATCAATCAACTCATGAAGAATGCGAGAAGAAGGACGCGCTCATACAAGTGTTGGTGAGAGGATTGGTGACGAAGCTAGTATTGCCCGTGTTTGTCAGCTGCTAAGGGGGAAGAGGACTATCCGATTGTTGCAAGCCCAGTACAATTACAGCTGCTGCAACACTGAAAGAAAAGGAGACGCCATCAGTGAAGTTTACAAGAAGGTAATGACTTCCCCTGACGCCAGCTCGAAAGAAAGATTCTTGGCGTGTACTACCTGTGGATACGATCAACATCTTCATCGGCTTGCTCAATGCCGACAAAGCTGCTGAGGAGCAGATAGTTGTGTCGTAGTACCAATCGAAAGCATTCGGCAATGATCGCATCTTCGCCCTCGTGTTCGGTTACACAAGGGAGATGGGTTACGATATTTGGACACTTCGGCTTCACTGCAAGGCCCCATATTCTCCCTTAAACTGCTTGCCTCACCGTTCGATCGAGTGCATCTTCTTCGTGTGCTTGTGCAACTCATACGGCTCGTTCGTGATGCTCTTGAGCTCGACGTACGAGCATGCGAAATACATCTATTCACTAGAGGAGCACAACCGACTCCAATGATCGCAATCGCTGCTCATTTCTAGTTTGTGTGAATAGAGACGTTCGGGTACGATGTTGACAGCGAAACTCGCTCAAGAATCGCAATTGCATAGTATACGAAGTGCAAAAGTTGCAGAACGAGCGTCTTCCACAACTCATCAATCCTTCTTGCAGCCGTTTTACGATACTCGTACAACCGCATGGATCGATCGACAAGATGTCCACTATGTCTGTAACCCTTGTAAGAAACGCACAATCAAACTTCTCTGCAGGCCCCTGCGTGAACGCGTGGAAGATGTATGCCAAGTTGTCGATACGAGCGGCATTCCGATCTCGAGGTAGCGATGCTAATGCTGCACGGAAGCGGAAGACCGATGTATGCTCTGCTCTATTGCAGCGACTCACTTTATTTGCTTCATATTGTTTCGGTTCAAGCTCAGTGTTTGCACCTTGATTGCCAATTGAGACAGAGTAAAGCAATGCAAGTCACGGACGGCATAACGTTTCTACCAGCGTGACCACGACTGACCTCGTTCTCGACTCGATGTCTGTAGTAGCGATCACGGCCACGCAAAAGCTGTCGCTAAAAACTTGGCCGAGCCACATCGTGTCTAAACTGGGAATAGATCGCCTGGTCTCCATGTTTCAGTAAGTCAGGACTTGCCTTGTGATCGTCTCGACGTGCAAAATGTATGTATATCATCCGCAGGACAATTCTTCGATGAAGTCGTGAAGGACTGTGTTTGCAGCAAGGAGCACGTCCGTTTCGGCTCTTCAAGACTGCGTCATTGGGCCGATAACAAGATAAAGAGCAGACGGATGCTTTGATCTTGATCTTGATGATAAGGGGGTCTACGACTGCTGGTCAACAGTTGACTGTAGGATGGAAGTCGTTATGACTTCGTATGTGGAAATTGCATCACGTCACGCCTTGCTACATCAGAGATCTGCCATGACTCTTTGTTCGTGACACGGGTCAAATCAAGATACCCACCTAACGAGACAAGTCGAATCTACCACACCAATAGCGGATTTGCCAGCAATTGTTATTGTACCGCATCAATTCGTGGCTACGGCGCCAGCGATGCCATCATAAGGTGCCAGCGTGAACAATCCTGTTCAGATATTCTGCGATAGACTCATTCTCTCTGCAATCGGTGGTACCCCAGAGTGACTCGGTAAACTCTTTCCAAAAAAAGTCGCGCACCTCGATGTGCAAACGCGTCGTTGACTTGCTGCTATAAGCTGTTGACATGCGTCACGGAAAAGAGGTGCGTCCATGAACAAGTGAAGAAACTGAATACACTCAGTAAGCGTCCAAAACTGCGGCTTATGTTACGAGAAGGATTGCTAGACTTTCATGCATTTTTACTTCTGCGAGGCACAAAGGTTTGAGAGCTCGCGTCTGATTCCTTTCTGACTTGGAGTGGAGCTACTCACGTGTACGAAGATGATAGACGAGAAGGGAGCTGCTTCCAGCAAAACTGGACACTATAAACAATGTCAGTCAGTGTCAATCTCTCATCGACTGACTCAACGTAAGTGGCTCTCAAACAGACTTGCCAAGTTCATCACAATGTGTGCGCGTGCAATTTACAATGACGAAGTTCGCTAAGAAAATCGTCGAAGCCGTGCATCATGACATTGGTGTACCGATGCCAACACATCGAAGCTACGAGAGCTCGAGGTTGTGGCGACTGTCATGGACACACAACTCTCATCTGCAATTGCTAGCACATCACGTGCCACGAGTTGAGACATCGAATTCTCTCGGTGGCCGCAACAAAGACCAATGAACGCAAGACGGGTGGCACAGCTGTGCTCTGCATGGCAAACGTTAGCACACTTGATATTCCAACTAGACACACGCGCCCTTGTGCACAAGGCACAATGTCACCTTCTCAACTTTAAGCGCTGTGTGGGCACAGCGTACACGAGACATCTCCAGGTACTCTTTTCTTTCCCCTCCACAGTAATGGAATTGACCGGCCCTAGGCAACCGACTGTCTGACTGCTGAGCTTGCCAACACCCCCACTCCTCCATTCCCATCCAGTCTTTACCCTCTTCTGTGCTGTAGCTCCAATACAAAAAGAAGATCCAACGAAAGTAGAACTAGAAGGAGTTGCTCTCTCTCGGACTAGATGAGAGATACCAATGTACGATATAGACCTATGTGCCGTAGCCGTAGCGATCGCGCACTAGTACTTTGCCTTACTTTGTCAGCTTTCTAGTCGCACGTCGCGATCGCGAAAACCATGCCGCCGTCAAATTAATGAGTCGTTCTCATTTTGCTTCATGGTCGCTGGTGTGTCTTTCAATTGACTGCAGCATCGACCTTAGTCGGCAACCATAGACAAACAACAACATTGAGATGAACCTCCGTCGCTTATTCATCGAAAAAAAGAAGGTTTCACTATCTCGGTGCACATGTATTGTCGGGAGAAGTTGTCCGGGCTCGGTCAACGAAATTTACGAGATCGAGAAGCCCATGAATGCAAGAGCCGTCCAGGCCAGACTGTTCCCTGTGTTCACTGTATTGGCAATAGAACAGCTACCTCGTGTCTTGTAAACGTTGTCACATGCAAGCGCGATTCACTTTCCAAGCTCCATTTCTTGTTGTGTT